TTTTTTGTATTGAATTTCATAAACTGTGATTAACCATAGCATGAATTAACAATAGTATATTGTTGATAAACCCTCTTATGAAAAAAAGGGTGAACTATGATTAACCATAGCATGAAATGTATTTTTTCAATATTATTGATTGTTCGAGATGACACAGGTTCTTGGGCCAATTGTGTTTCGGGTCAACTCCAGATTTTCGCTCGAGCATACGTCTGGAAGACCTGAGCCCAAGCTTGAAGATGTGACATACAGCTTGAATTACGCGCTAAGAGCCTTGAGATCGGGAAAAGTGGTTGCATGGTATTCTCCTAATCGAAAAGAGGGAATGATTGAGCTACGCCTCTTTGAGTTCTGAGTTTTTATGTTTCGTTTTTTGCTGCTCGAAAAGGCTTGGATTTTTCGTTTTTAGGCTCGTGAATGTGCTGTTTTTTTGTTGCCTGTAGCAGTATATACTGATTTAGCCTAGTTGCTCTTTTTCTATGGAAGACAATTTTAGAACTTTTGCAGTATCTCTTGAGGGATAGAACTTTTGCAGTATCTCTTGAGGGAAATTCATTTGAAAATCATTTACTTCTGACTATCCATTGTTAAAATCCTACATTCTCACGACTTATTCGTGTCTTTGTACAAGTATGCATTTTTTTTGTAAAACACGAATCATATCACAACTCAAATCATTATCCATAATTGTGTGTTTGTAATTAAAATTCAATCCAATAAAACTAAGTTTATTCAATTTTGTCACACAAAATGTTTTTCAATTTCTTGACTACTGCAAAAAAACTTGAAGTCATTAAATGCCACATTACCACATGTAAATGTTTACAAGAACAACATTTTGTGCTCCCAAGTCTAATTTTATCCACTTACAATTACCAAAGGAGATGATGTTTTTCTTGTAGACCAAAACCCCCACACATATATTTAAGCTATTTTGCACAAATCTGAACTTTGTAACTTGAAACTGCTCCACAAGCGATATAACGGTCCCGTTACATAACCACTCCGTCGGCGTTTGTAACTGTTAGATCAACTATCCACGATGGTTACATAATGATTTAACGGTTACAAATTCTGACGGAATTGTTCTATAACGAAACTGTAACATTTCTGTTTTGAGTTCAAAAACAATATAAACCAAGGAATCATATCTTAAAAATAATATATAACTATGGAGATTGTATGAAAACCAAAATGATGATTCAAGTAATCAAAAATTTAACATTGTATCCCTCAAATTTCAGCATTCTACAAATTAAACTCCAGAAAGCCAGCGAAACAACTCACTAATTTCCTCTCCGGCCCTGTACGCCTCCAAGTCATCCGTGACGGCAACGGCCTCTGTACGGCGGCTGCTTCCGGAGAAAAACCGGCTGGAGCTCCTAAACGACATCGACCGGGAAGAGCTCGAGATCGACGCCAGTCGGTCGACGTAATCCCACAGCCGACTCCTCCCGCCGGGAGTTCCCTCCGCCGCCGGAGCCTCCGTAGTCGGTGGATCCTTTTCGTTGGGTTTGAAATCGGAAAACCGGCCGCTGTGAGTCGTGGACCCCACGGGGACCTCGTATCCGTTGTCGTCCAATATGTACTCGAACGAGCCTACCGAGTACGACCGCCGCCGGCGCCCGGCGTCCCCTTCCGCGGCGGGGTGGCGGCTGCTGACGTTTCCGATCTCGATCCGGAAGCTTCTTCCGCCGCCGGCGTCGGCGGCACTGTCGGTCTTTCCGTGGTTATCGGCGGAGAGGATCTTGCCGAGCGCGTCAGCGCCGCCGGAGGGGAGGACGGGGGACCGGCAGAGGGGGCACGTCTGGCTGGAGGCGATCCACGCGTCGATGCACGCGACGTGGAACGCGTGGCAGCAGAGGGGCAGAAGGCGGAGACGGTCGCGCGGCTCGAACCGCGACAGGCAGACGGCGCAGTCGCCCGAGGCGGCGGCGCCCGGTGCGACGGAGCGGAAGTCGAAGAGCGGGAGGGAGTCGAGAAGCTCGTCGGGAGCTGTGGCGCGGCGCGGATGCGGCTGGTCCGGATGGGGATCCGCGGCGGATGAGCCGCGGCAGCGGCGGCGGCGGATGAGGTAGATTGAGGCGGAGGCGATGATCGCCGAGGCCAGGATGATGATAATTATGCCGATGGACAACGAGGAGCCGGAGGAGCTTCTCGATGGCTCTTCGCCGCCGTATACGGCGGCCGGAGGCGGCGTGAATTGAGTGGGCATGATTGTGTGAAAAAAATGAGTGCAGACAGAGAGTGTGTGTGTTTGAGCGCGCGTGTTTCAGCCTTTCAGGCCATTTTCTAGAGAGAAGAGGAAAGGGTGTTTGGGCCTTTGGGGGTACTTATGATGAGTTTTTGGGTGTTTTGGGCACGTGATTAGCACGGGTGGTCGTTCACCTGACAAAATACTATGATTGTGTTACGGTGTTATAATAATAATAATGGAAAATGCTACGGTCTCGTTACGGTACCACTCCGTCGGGTGTTTTAACTGTTGGATATACTCGTAGTTAGTATACCCGTAACTGGTTAGTATGATCCAACGATTAAAACACCCGACGGCATGATATCGTAACTGGACCATAGCATCTCCCAATAATAATAAGGAAATACATTTGTTGTGGGGATTTTCTTTTGTAGTGTTTTTGTTCAACTCCAAGACCCAATTTGTTTGTTGGCCAACACATTTTATTTGGACTATTGTTTAAACAAACCAACTTTGAATGGCTATTCAATGGGATGGTTATAAGGTAGGTTTTTTTTTTTTTTAGGATTGACTCATTTAAACAAACCAATTTAATCATATATATGAATTATTATTAAACTCAATATGTTAATGAGTTTTTATTAGTTAGAATCTCATGATTTTTTCAATCATATACTCATTTCGTGTGTTTGTATATTTTACATTCCACCCCATCACCTTGATCTTTTTACTCTGTACTCATCGTCGTCTGATATATGAAACTCATGTCACGTCAATCGTTCACCAAGCAAAGTAGTGTCGAACTTGAATATTTAGAACAAAATGGACGAATATTCAAAATTAGAAGTACCATTTAATTGGACTTGCTTATGATTATTTAATTATTGTTTAAACAATGTACTTTTACAAATTATATAGCAAGAATTGAATCCTTCTTCATATCTCATCCTTGACATTGGTAGGAAAATGAAGGAGAGAAAATATACACACAATAATGTTACCTCATGAAAAGCTAACAAGAAACTACCTAGCCAAAAGTAAAGGGATGAGGAGGAAAAAAAATATATATATATAAACTATGACCTAACTGCTTTGGCTTTTACAAAAGAGAGAATAGAACATAATAAATTCTTGATCCTTTGCTCAAAGCTTGAGACATATGGGTTGTGTTGAGTGAGTGAGACTTCATTTTATCTATAAAGCAATAATCAAGCATTTTTTAAATTGATCACAGGAACTAAAACCTAAAACAATAATTATATACTCCATGTGTCTCTGTGTGTGTGTATGTCAGACAATCAGAGAGAGAGAGAGAGAGAGAGAGAGATTTTAGTAAAGAAGAAACCAAAGCAGCCTTATCTGGATGCACATTTTCTAGGACTTTTGACCCTCAAATTGCTCCTAGAATCTTTACAACATCTGCCAGTTTTAAAAAAATACACAAAACAAGAGCAAAAGCCAAAAAAATAGAATTAAAAGAAAAAGGAAAAAATTTTCTCACTTGTGGGATCATCTAATGCTCCAACTTCAGCTAAATGTCAGTTCAAATTAGCTTATTATATGAGTCAGTGGTTCAAACAAATCATTTTCAGCTGCCAAATCCATGAGCATACCATTCCGATAGCACAATATATGGAAATCGTCATGAGAGGTAGAAAGGGAAGCCGATCACCAAAAACGATAGGATGCAAAAACTGTCCCCAAACCTCCACGGCTAATAAGCCGAACAGGTAGGATTTTCCGAGCCACCCAATATGGAAAGCACGGTTTTCTAATTTACGGTCACTTTCTTTAACTGCTGTAGCAGTTTTCCCAGTAAAACGTGAGGAGAACCCGAAAAGAATCAGAACAGTGTGCAGAAGCAGGAGTAGAATTTTAATCGGATATTCTTGGGCTTCATACAGAAGTGGGAAAAGGGAATAGCAAGAAACTGCGAGTTATGCAAGAGAACTACGTTAGAATCACATTATAGGAATGCGCATATAATAATTATAAGAAGAAGAAAGAAAGAAAGAAAAATAGTTAAAGTAACATCAGAATCAAAAGGTTTTTTTTACCAACTCAATCGAAAAGAGCAAAAATGAAACCTCAAGATCCAATCTCACACACCAAACAAGTTTAACTGTTAATCAATGGCGATAATTATCCAGCGTAAACCAATGTCGTTCATTTTTTAAGGTGACTCGCTGAATTTCAAACCAGATAAATGTAATTTGGAGAAATACAGTCTGATACAAACTACTACTTCAAACAGAGAGGAAAAAAAAGGATATAGAAAGATAAATAAGGAAAGCACTGTCCTCATCCAACTGAACAACAGGGTTAGCTACGAGCTACCAGAAACCAACAGTGGGAATGTGAAATCAAAATTCATTTATATTATCATACAAAATTGGTAGCTATTAAGAAAATAGAATTTTTTTTCACGAAAAAAAAAATGTTACCAATGCTACCATCTAAATTATAAACTGTATGCAGTTCAACCCAGAGGAAGGAGAAACAAGAGCAAATTTCAACTAAAAAAGGGGCAGTAGCTACATGCTATTGAAAAGAAAGAAAGAAAAGAAAAAACAAATCGTACCTATGGACAAAATGAAGTAATGCTTAGCATCCTCCACGCTCTTCAAGGATGTCACGGCAAGGGGAATTACAAAGTGAAGAGAAGCCTTTTCATGAACATGCCACCCAAATAGAAAGCCACATGTATATGCATAGGAGATCCATCTCGAGACCACTCGTGGTTGGGGGTTCTTCCAAGCCTTTACCAAGCAAGGTGATATGGCCAACAGAACCGTGATGAATGTAATCAAAGGGGTGATCTGCATTTTACGAAATGGGATCAAAAGAATTACTCTGAGGTGTTTCACATTCTAACGTGCTGTTTACTTGACTCAAATATAACTCTTTAGTGTATGTAGAGTTCTCATATATCAACTACGTTGAAAAAGTTACAAGAAAAATTGGAAACAAACTACAAAAGTACGCAACAAGAGTTTTGGCAAATACTTCGGGGGAAAGGCATTCCCTCCGCCCCTCTTTTTTGTCCAAAACTAATAGTCCCTTACGTTAGGAGGTTTTATTTTTTAATTTTTCCTTTTTATACCCCTATCTGATAAAGCATTTACCCATCTTTCGAATCGGTTTAATCAACATAGGATTTAAAGTAAATGCGAAAAATTTCAATTCTAGAAAATATATTGAAAACGTTAATCTGTGTAGATTCTATTTTCTAACTACTGTTTGGTATGGAGGAAGTAGATAATAAGAATCACAATACTCTAACCTGCTGTTTACCTAACTCAAATATAACTCTTTAGTGTATGTAAAGTTCTCGTATATCAACTACGTTGAAAAATTTACAAGACAAAATTGGAATACAAACTACAAAAGTACACAACAAGAGTTCTGGCAAATACTTGAGGAGAAAGGCATTCTCTCCGCCCCTCTCGTTTGTTCAAAATTAATAGTCCCTTACGTTAGGAGGTTTTATACCCCTATCTGATAAAGCAATTACCCATCTTTCAAATCAGTTTAATCGACATAGATTTAATGTAAATGTGGAAAATTTCAATTCTAGCTCAATCTGTGTAAAATAATATTATAACTACTGTTTTGGTGTGGGGGAAGTAGATAATAAGAATGACAATACTCTGAAAACGCGGAAAGAAATCCAGTGCTTAGTGAATACTCTACAGCGATATCCTCGTCGGTTTAGATAATATGAAACGAATTAGCAGAAAGCGTCACAGCTTATAGTAAGAGACCAAATATTGTTACCGTGGGTAATACAGCAAAAGGCGAGGAATCCCCCACAAGACCACCAGTAAAGGAAGCCTTTGGTGCTTGGATATTGAACCCTAGCTTCACAAGCAAAAAAGCCAAAGATTTATCCAACATAATATAAAATACCCAACCATTTGGAGCCCAGTAAGCATGGCATAGTCCCCTGCCAAAAGGAAACAAGCGATGGAGAACTTGTTGTATCTGCAAGGTAACACGTGAAATGCTGAAAAAAATTATAAATGCTGTGTTACTAGTTTCAAGGAAATAATCTAGTGCAACTATAAATCCTCAACAACATTAAAATCTGTCATAGAACTATAGAAGCCTTTGATTTGTCAGTAGTTGTCTGATCAAACAACAAATGAATTGGAACCAAAAAAATGAAATGATATAGTGACACTATAAATTATGAAGAACAACAGAGTTCGCTAATCGCTACAATATCTGCAACTAGCTGATTTCTTAATTCATCAGTTCAGATATATCAAGTTGTTGACATGTCGTTGATTTGCGATTCGAACATATCCAAGTTGGACATGATGAAAACAAAATTAAATAACAGTGAACACAAATGTAAACTGCAAACGCGTATCATTCAACACTCTACTTCAACTTCAAACTATTACTAACATAAAACAAACAATTTGAATGATAAACAGATCATATCTAATCATTCTAGATCATCATAAACAATTACGCAGAAAAGCAGGCAAATTTTACCTGCCCATAGTGCCAAAATGGGCCATAGGCTGCACCAAACACAGCCACAACCACACTTCCCATAAGCACCAACCTTCCAAATCCCTTAACAAACCCACCCCTGCAATAATGTCTAAACAGATACACGAAATACACAGGCGCAGCCACAGCAAAGAGATGCTTAAAACAGAGCAAAACCGCGAAAACGAACCCTCCCAGCAAGTCTCTCCCTTCCTCCAGAAACGAAATCGACAGCAAAAGCATCCCCAACAGAAACCCATTGTACTGAAAGTGTAAATGATCAACGATGAACAACCCAGGGGACCAAATGACCAATCCCCAAATCAAAAACCTCTCGAATCTGTCAAAACCCCTGTTTCTAGTCAGTCTATAAGCTGCCCATACCAAAACGACGTCGGATAACGCGACGGAGATCCGCTGGAAGAGGATCGTGGCCGGGGAGGCGTAATCGAGGCCGCGGTGGAGATCGGTCGCGGTGGGGTCCACCCTGGAGGCGAAGAGGGAGAGGAATTTCTCGAAGTAGGCGAAGAAGGGAGGGTAATCGAGGGTCCACGGGCTGGTGGCGTCGGAGTACCATCGGGAGATGTGAAGGGAGTTGGTCAAGGCCAGCCAGTGGCGGTGGACCTCGAAATCGGTGCTGCGGTAGGCGGGGATGAGGAGGAGCTTAACTGCGGAGGCGACAAGGGCTGGCCACCATATGTCGCCGCCGATACGCCGGCGGTTGTTCTCGGATTTCTTCATTGGTGGACTGTGATTGGTTGATCAGCTGGTTTTTTGCTGACTCGAACGTGTTCCTATTCCATATCAGCAATTTTTAATTTTTTTTTTTTTTAATTTTTTATTTTTTATTTTTTATTTTTTTGTACAAGAAATGGAGGGAATCAAAGTTTGAGTAATGCTCCCTTACCCACGGTCGGTGTGCACATTTTAACATCACCAATGTGTACGGCATATTAACACACGGTCGGTGTGCACATTTTAACATCACCAATGTGTACGGCATATTAACATGTACTCATCATGGGTAGGTGAACATTATTGAACAAAGTTTACCATCGGACCTTTAAAAGATAGACATAATTTGTATGTGTTTTCAAACAAGTTGAGTTTTACACGAACTTTCTAAAGTTCAAGTTTATCTATCTCATTAACTTCTTTAGTTAATTTTTTAAATAAGTATGGTGAAATTTTTATTAAAACTGACTTATCAATTAATTTTACAATATCAACTAACTTTTCAACAATTAGTCATAGGTTATCAACTTGAAATTAAAAATTATATGATATTAGATAAATAATTAGCTATCAGTCGACTTATCATCTAAACTTACCAAATATAATAAAATTAAGCTAAAAGTTCACAAAAGTAAATAAAAACCTTATTTATCTAGCTTTCGAGAATTAGTGAGCCTTAAATAAACTCACGATTCACGAGCAATTCAATTGATGGTTTGGGTCTCTTCCAGCTTAACCAGTGGTCTCGTGTTCGAGCCTGTGAATGTTAAAACTCTTGAGGGAGAGCTTTGCCGCCCTTGTGGTCCTATCCGGCTCGATTCCGGATTAGTCGGTTCCTCTGTGAATCCGGAAATCGGAAGGTCCCTGTACCAAAAAAAAAAAAAAATCTTCAAAATCACGTGAAACGTAACCCATATGCATTTTTGTTTGAGCTATACCATATCCAATTTTCAATTTATTGTATGACAACCTAACGAGTTGACATGTGATACTATATTAGCAAAAATAGAATCTTATTTTATAATATATCATATTTTGTTTGTAAGTTTATAGGGTGCCATTTTATTAACTGAAAAAGAATGAATTGTCTTATAATTAGACTTACTACTCACTACATGCGTAGGTTCTGAATGTTAATATGTACAGATGCATGTATATGTATATAGTATAGTATCAATGTTTGGACGTTTACTTGCCCAAATTTAAGAGAGTGAGTGATTTGGGTCAATCTCTTTGTTAAAGACCCAAGCCCAGTCCATATTTATTTATTGCATAGCACAATTTGGATGGGCCTATCAAGCAAAGTGGGCCGATATCAGCGAAACAACAATGTCTGTTTGTATAGCGAGAGAGTCCCAACCCGCACGTCACAAGCTGGGCTATGTTGGAAATGACCAACTTTTTTTTTTGGTACAGAGACCTTCCAGTTTCCGGATTTACAGGGAAACCGATTAATCCGGAATCGAGCTTGGTAGGACCACAAGGGCGGCAAAGCTCTCCCTCAAAAGTTTTAACACTGCTACATTCCCATGGCTCGAACACGAGACTACTGGTTAAGCTGGAAGAGACCCAAGCCATCTCATCCAAGCGCTCTTGGGTGAAATGACCAACTTTTAAAATGTTCATTTATTTATTTCTTAAGTCTATTATATTTGGAGTTATCCATGTGCATTATTTATTTGCGAAAATGACCGATTTTCACTTTATTACAAATCAATGTGACGAGGATTGAGGTACCCTCTGTTCTCAATGAAACCTGGTTTCAGAACAAACAAAACATTTGCACTTTTTTCTAATGTCCCATGTAACCTAGTTTTTAATTGTTGAAATTGGATAGTTTACTTTACAATCATGGACCCTTCTTGTTTGGTAATAGTAATTATTTCATATAACTAGAGTTGATGACTACTTACATAAAATTTCGAATGTAGAAAAAAATATTATACAATTACGTACAACTCTAATACAATGTTGATGCTTTAGTAAAATTAAATTGAATAAGTCAGTTGTATAATTCGATACCTGGTGTAGTACATAACACGACACGACAAGAATAGAAAATATAATTACCAAAACGACGAGCACATCGAAATTTGATGATACAAAAAATATGAAATAAAAACTATTTAAATTGTAATTTATCTTTGTATTTTTTTTATTTTTTTTTTCTTGCTACCAAGGAAAGAGGCCGGAGTCTAGCACCTCTTGATAATTGTATTCTGTTGATACGCGACGCAAAAGACGTCATGCGTTAGCCACGGTTTGACTTCTATAGGTGGATTGAGTAGTCGCTGACAACCATTAAAACATGAGTGGGCTAACGCCGCCAAGCAGTCTGCAGCACGAGAACACGATTTATCGTCCAACTTTTTCCAGTACATCAATCACAGACTATGCATTTGCACTTCTTCATTTTGGATAATTAACTTTATTATTGAATAAAAATGATTAAAAAAAATAATTTTGGAGACATGAGTGTTAGCAAAATATAAAATGGAAGTAGTACAGTTTTAACTCTTAAGAAAGAAAAAGGTAAAAAGTAAAAAAGACAAAACCACACAGGTGGACCAGACGAGGGTGCAAACCGTGCACCAATTATGGAGTATGACCCCGCGCTATCGTGCGCCGGCTCATCCGAACCGTCCGTTGCATTGACCTAGAGTATAGGGGCACCTTCTGGCGACGTAGATCAAGAACAAGACGTAACCCGTTACACTGGTCGCGGCAGGGCACGTGTCCCCAAGGAGTAAATTATTGGCTGCTCCGCCCGTTTGGCATCCTCACGTGCACCGCACGATCCATTTAAAAAAAAAAAAAAAAGAAAAATTATTGCACCACGATCTGCCCGCGGGCAGGGAGCAGAGACTTTCGGGCAGATGGGTGGCCAGCCAGTGGCCTCGGAATCCGAGCCAGCAGGTAATGCGAATGCTAACCGTTGATCCCCACCCAACCAGCGGTGGGTCCCACCGTTGTGTTTTTTCTAGTAATTTTATTTAAATTGAGCATGTGGGGCCCACATTGAGTGAGATTTGGACCTGTGGGCCCCAGTCCGAAGAGGCTCCAAGGAGGGTGGGTGGGGTCGGTAGACGACAAAAAATCCGTGGGGACTCTTTGAGGAAAATAATGAAAATTTTGTGTCCTGTCGTGACTCATGATGACGTCGGGACCTTGGACTTGAAAGTGTATTTTTATTTTTATTATTTTCCTTTTTCCTTTTTTTTTATTTATGTGTTTCATTTTTTATTTTAATCAAATTTGTTATTCTCTAATTTTCTTTTACTTTTTTTTTTGGGTAAG